TGCTTCACTTGACTCTGAAGGATGCTTTGGATGCTTCACTTGACTCCGAAGGATTGTAGACGATTATGAGTGCTCTTAATCTCCAATTCTTCTAGACCTCTTCCAATTCTTCTTCCTCTTGGCTTCTTCCCCCTTTCTTCTGGCTCTTCTGCTCTTCTTCTTTCTTCTTGCTCCCCCCGAATGAGGGTGATCCCCTCTATTTATAGAGTTTTGGTGGGTCTTATATGGGCCATGGGCTTAATGGGCCATAGGCTTGGGCCCAGTCTCTTTATGGATTTGATCCAATTAGTTGATTTCATCGGACGGCTATAAAAGAGACACATGGCATAGTTTGATTCACCAATTTTAAATTAATTTAGGGCACATGTAAATTTGTGATTTGTCCTTAAATTGTGACGTGGCATTTAGTAATTGGCCGAAATTTCTGTTTCAACAATATGTTTATTATTCTATATATTAGAAGATTAAAGTGAAAAATATATTATATAAGAGCCATTGTTATATAATCTAATATATATATTGTATAACATTTTGGATAAATATATGTTTATCAAAATAATGAGGGGAAGAATATAATTAAAATATGGAAAAAATATTTTGGAGGAGTATATATTTATCATACTATTAAAAAAAAGCCGTTGGAAAAAGAAAATAGGCTAGAAAAAATTCATCCGAAAAAGAAATGTAACGGCGGTTTCTGGCCAGAAGAAAAATAGAGAATGAGAGAATTTTTCCACCCAAATATGGTAAGATTTGAATCACATCAAATATAATTATTCAAATACAAAATAGATCACATTAAATTAATTTGTATTAATTAAGAGCAATTTGAAAACAAAATATTACAATTCAAATATGAAAATATTTGTAAATATTTAAAATAATATTCATTTATGAAATATTGACTATAATTTGACTTATTATAGACAAAAACAAAAAAAATCTTCTTTTTGTGGATTCAAATATCCAATTTTTTGATTGAAGATATATGTCACTAATAGAATTATTTTGTGTATGGATCGTACAATGATATGTGTTTATTTTTAGATGATGAGATGAAATTTCTCAAACAAACTACGCTTTAATCTTTGAGTTTTCGAATCTATTTGTTTTAAAAAAAATTAAAATGTATTATTTCTTTTTTGCTTTCTTCTTTTTTGACAATAAAAAAACATTATTTTAGTATTACGAAATAGCTTCATTTAGTCCACGTAATTACTTTATTCTAAAAGCTCCAATAGCATAATGTTTTTATAATCGATATTGACATAACAATTTATTTTTATTTTAGCAAGTTACCAACTTGGAAATTTTGTTTTATTAATATTTTCTCTTTGTGCATAAATTACGACTTTACATGTCAATGTGTTTTGTGTTTTATATATGGTAGTTTGTCAAAATTGGTTACCTTTTCAAATTCGTCACAAAAAAGTAATTTACAAATATGATAATTTTTCTCCACTATATTATTAATATACTATTTTTAATTTTTGATAAAGTATATCACTGATATACTATTTATGTATTGAAGTAAATTATTGATAATTTTTTTTAGTATAATATATAGAGGAGGGAGATCGAACTCACAACCTCCTAGTTTTAGATATATGTCCATTATCGACGAACAATGTTCGCTTTGGCTATCATTAATAAGTCTATCACCGATATACCAATACAAAAGTATATCACCAATACATCATTTTTATATCATTGATAAAACATGTCTCTATATATATGCCTAATATGAACTCTTACATTTTTGCCTTTCTTACAAATATTTTATCATGGGATAAAAATGACCAAATATACCATTATCACCAAAATCTAACAATGTTAGATTTTGTAAAAATGTTAAAAATGTTAGCCACCACTCAAACCAAAAGTTTAAGCCAATGAATTAAGTAAATTTAAGTAATATATAGATATCTCAACATGTTTTAACTTTTTATATATAATCTTTTCATTGCGAAAATTTATACCTAACAAATTAGAAAGAATATTTTAAAATCTAAATTATATATAGTTAAATTTTTTATATAAGTTTTTAACCTAAATGCTCCACCCATATTCTTTGTAAAGCCGCTTGTAGCTGCACATAAGAATTAAAAATAAATATATAATTCAAAATCAATTGTACTATTAATTCGAGCATAACTCACTGTCTATTATCATCTCAAATGTGGATGATTCCTATTCCATTTCACAATCCAATTGTTAAACTCATTCTTTCTCAGCTAAAGTAATAATAATAATTATTATTGTTCAACTCATTAAAACCAAAAAAAAAAAACAAGAAAACAAAAGTGTATTAATTTGTCTTATTAAAAAAATCTGTATTAATTTGAGTGCAAAAATTTAGTACAAAAATTGATTTGGAAAGCGATTTCCTCGCCAGCTTGTAATGTACTACGACACAGACAGATCAAAGGAAAAAACCGTTTGTTTAGGCCTCAATGACGGCGACCGATACCGCCGCCTCTTTGGACCAAATTGACGGCGGCGATTCATCGACGGCCGCCGTTTCCGCCCATTTTCAAATCAGCGGCCCTCCCTTCTCCGGCCGTGACACTTCCCAAAATTAAGTATCATTTGTCACAAAAGCAGAAGCAGAAGCAGAAGCAGCTAATACTATTCAATTTCCTCACATTCTCCAACCAAATACTGTAAATGCTGAACGCCGTAGAAGCCACGTAGCTCCTCGGTAATCGATTCCTCTTTCCCTTTTTTGTTTCGATCCTCGGAAAGCGCGTGAAACCGAACCCTGATGATTTATTAAGCGTCTGAAGTCGGGATTCTCATTTCTCTCGAGACCCATTTTGAATTGAATTTCGTTTCGCCTTTTAATCTTTTGGAATTGGGAATTTTTGGATGGCTTATTGAGGAAGTAAGCGTTTTCTGGTGGGTTTTTTTTCTTTCTTTCTAGAGTTGTGTTCATGGGTCTCTCTAGTTCTTGTGGAATTTGATTGAGATTTTCTTTTTTGCCTTCTTGCATGAACTAGATCAGTGGCTTCAATCTGGTTGTTTCGATATAATCTCTGTTTTGTTGCTTGTTTTTTGTGGTTCTGCAGTTGTTGTTACTTGTCATGTGTTTGGAATTTTGGATTTCTACCTGCTTGCTTATAGAATGCTTTGCCCAAATTCAAAAATGGTAGAAACCAAATCAGCCTATCAGCACTTTTGAGATCTTATTGATTGAAATTGTACTTGCATTTTTTTTTCTTTTAGTTGACTTCATTCAACTTAGAAATTCATCTGATGCTGGTGTGATGGATCTTATAAATCTAGCTGATCTACAGTCTCTGTTTTACTTTGATGGTGATGGATCTTATTGTGCTGAAATGAAATATTAATACTGATTTTAGTGCAACTGCATGATGGTTTTAGAATTCCGAAATCTCTCTATCTCTTCTCTCTCACTTTACTTTTTTTTTTCTTTTTTTTTTCTTTTCCAATGTCTTTGTTCTTGGAATATTAACAGGGGAATAAATCATATTCTTGTTTTTCTTTTCAACATTTATGACAGGAGGTTTAATTTTCACCATATTAACAAAAGATTGTATCAAATTGTACTCGACTTTTCTTTTAGTTGGTTTCATTTGACTTTCATATTCATCTGATGCTAGTGTGGTAGATCTTATTCTCTCTCTCTCTGTTTTTTATTATTATTATTTTTGCCATTAATGCATTATTGCTGTCTTTATTTATGGTATATTAACAGAGGAATGAACCATAAATAACAGAGGAATGAACCATATCATAGTTTTTCTCTTTAATATTTATGACAGGGTGTTTAAGTTTCATCATTTTAACAGAGGAATGAATCATATTATACTTGCCTTTTCTTTTATTTGGTTTCATTTTACTTTGATGATAATAGATTTTAGGTTAAATTACAAGTTTAGTCTCTAAACTTTTAAAGTTGCTTCAAATAAGTTCATGAACTTGATAAAGTGTCTAATATACCATAAACTTTCAATTTTGTGTTTATAGGTTCTTGAAGTTTAAAAAATATTGAATAGGTTAGGAATCTAGTAGACTCAAAATTAAAAATTCAGGGATCTATTTAATACTTTTAAAGTTCAAGGATCTATTAGACACAATCTTGAAAGTTGAGAGGCTAAACTTAGGAGTAGATTATATTGTGATTAAATGAAACATGACTATTGCTATTAGTGCATGATGGTGTTAGAATTCCAAACTCTCTATCTCTCTACTTTTTTTTCTTCCCTTTAATGCATCCATTTCTGTCTTTGTTCTTCATATATTAACAGAGGAATGAATCATGTTATAGTTTTTCCGTTCTATATTCATGACAGGGTGTTTCCCATCCTAGCCTGGAGACTGTTGATTATGATCATTTGTAGTCATCAAAGGATCAATCGAGTTGTTTATCAATATGGGTCATGAACTCTTTTCGATATCTCGAATCGGTACAAAAAGAGTGCTATGGATGATGGGGCTGATGTTTGCTATGATTTTGGCTCTTCAATACTTTGAACTTCCATATGGGTTTTCCCTATCTTCTTTGCTTTCTGCTGGTAAGGTTTCGGTCATCGAAGAGGGCGATTCTCATTCCCCTGCCCACAATCCACTATCGAAGACCGAGCTTGTTGCTGATCCCCCACTTTCAGATAGTATAAACTCGACTTCATCTCATGATAGTTATGGGATGGCAAATTACACTGAGGTTTTTGAAGAACAGAGAGATGATGAATTTATACCAGAAGAAGATCACACCCTGAAAGAGGCATTAGAATTAGACTTGGATGCCAATGCTACTAAGTCTTCCTCAACTGAGGATTCGATAGAGCCCGTTGAGAACTCGACCGTTGATGATGAATCTATTAACAATGATTTGCAAAGAAATAATCAAAGCTTTGATCGAAAAGATGACTCTTTACGTAATGATTCGATAGGAATAAATGGGACAAAAAGCTCTATTTCAACATTAGGATATAGCAATCACTCGGGTGACAACTTTGCAGCCCCGCCAGCAGTTCCACCCATAAGTTCATCTTCTATGATGTTTGGGAATACAAGTAATATTTCTCAGAATTCATCAAGCCACGACGTGTCTGTTGGATCCAATGCTCCCGCTCCCAATAGTTCTGAAAAATTGAATGCATATGTGAAGGAGAAAGTTGAAGTAAATACGTCCAATAAGAGTGAGAAAACTGAGCAATTGCACAGTGAGCGAGATATAGTGAAAAACAAGTCGGTCTCTGAGGAGAAGAAAGTGCCTAGACTCCCCTTTTCCGGAGTATATACACTCTCTGAGATGGACAGTTTGTTGCTTGAAAGTCGCGCATCCTACAGTCCGATTGTAAGCTCCAAAATTTCGTGTCTTTCTCATAATGGATGGTCTCTCTAAACTAATAATAACTGGAAAACTATGCATTCTCTGTGTGCCTACCAAATTATTTGTAGGTACCAAGTTGGTCTTCAGCTGTAGACCAAGAGCTGCAACAAGCAAAATTAAAGATCGAGAACGCACCTGTGATAGATAACGACCCGAGTCTCCATGCTCCTTTGTTTCGAAATGTTTCCATTTTCAAAAGGTGTGATTATTATATTTCTACCATTGTCTTGATTTCCCGGATAGCTTGATCTCATTTTTGTTAATTCATGTAGCATCCTATTATGCAGGAGCTATGAACTTATGGAGAGTATTCTCAAAGTGTACATCTACAGAGAAGGAGAAAGACCGATCTTTCACCAGGGTCCGCTCCAGAGTATCTATGCTTCTGAGGGGTGGTTCATGAAGATACTAGAATCAAACAAGAGATTCGTCACTAAGGACCCGAAAAAAGCTCACCTCTTTTACTTGCCTTTCAGCTCTCGACAGTTGGAAGAGGTCTTATACGTGCGCGACTCACACAGTCATAAGAACCTCATACAACACCTCAAGAACTACTTGGACTTTATTGCTGCAAGACATCCTTACTGGAACAGAACTGGAGGAGCCGATCATTTTCTCGCTGCTTGTCACGATTGGGTATGTCTTTCTCACTTCACTGCCTGAACTAATAAAAGGGCATTCAGTATCTTTTTTGGAACTCAAATGACATTCCATGGTATGCATTTTAGAACCAATTTCTAGTTCCTTTTCACAATTTGCATATGCTAGGAGAAGAGATGGCTGCTATGAAATGATTTGTAAAATGGGGTCCGAGCCTCTTGATCACCATATGAACTGTCTAATTAACCTTGCATTAGAATACCATTATCTCGAGTTGCTAATTATATAAGCGATGACTGCAGGCGCCTGCAGAAACGAGGAAATATATGGCAAGGTGCATAAGAGCTCTATGCAACTCGGACGTCAGAGAAGGTTTTGTTTTTGGTAGGGATGTATCCCTTCCCGAAACATTTGTACGCTTTGCTCGGAATCCTCTAAGAGACATTGGTGGCAATCCTCCATCCAAGAGGCCAATCCTTGCTTTCTTTGCAGGCAGCATGCACGGCTACCTACGTTCGATGCTCCTGGAGTATTGGGAGCGCAAAGACCCTGACATGAAAATCTCCAGTAAGTTGCCAAAGTCCAAAGGATCAAAGAACTACCTCTGGCACATGAAGAACAGCAAATACTGCATCTGTGCAAAAGGCTATGAAGTCAACAGCCCCCGAGTCGTGGAATCCATCTTGTACGAATGCGTTCCTGTGATCATATCGGACAACTTTGTGCCTCCACTGTTTGAGGTTTTAAAGTGGGAGTCGTTTGCGGTTTTCGTAGCAGAGAAAGACATTCCAGACCTGAAGAACATTCTCCTTTCCATACCCGAGAAGCGGTATAGAGAGATGCAGATGAGGGTGAAGAAGTTGCAGCCACATTTCCTATGGCATGCAAGGCCTCAAAAGTATGATTTGTTTCATATGATTCTACACTCCATTTGGTACAATAGACTTTACCAAATAAGACCAAAATAGATTGAAAAACATAACAGATTTGTTCATACTTGTCTTGTTGGAATAAGGTGGGAAACTTAGGTCTCTAAATTCATTTGTTTTTTTTTTCTTTTGGTTATAGTCAGCAAAAGTTCTCTGTAATTATATTTTTGTCTCTGTTTTCTCTTTGTATTGATTATTAATTTATAGGAGTTTTTTAGTTTGGACATGTCTTATTCTTGTATTCTTTATGTATTTGTTTAGATCTAAATCTTTTTTGTTTCTCTAGACTTTTGTGCTAATCCAAAATTATGTTAGTCGTTATCATTAATTTTTTAAAAATTAATTATATGACAAAAAATTAGAATAGGGGTGTTTTTTTATTTTTTATTTTTCATTTGGCCAATGAATATATGTCTACATGTACAAGTATTAAAGTCGAGAAAAAAATTTTGCTTAAAAAAAAAAGATCCAGAAAAAATTCACTTGTTTGAATGGTACACAAATTATAAGAAAAGTAAACTTGGTTTGGTTCGTGATTTTAAAATAGAAATATGAAAAACAAGAGAGATTCGATTACTTGAGATTGTGTTTCAAATTTAGAAATTTGATTTCAATTTAAGAAATTCTTTGAGATGCGTTTATCAACTAAATATTTAGTTTATTGTAAAATATTATTAATAAATTTATTAACATATATATGTAATAAATTTTGAATCATTATTATTTTATAATATTATATAATTTATAACATGAAATAGTAAATTTATCAAAAATTTGTATATTATTAAATATAATTATACATTTTAAAGTTTTTCAATTTAAAATCTAAAAATATTGAAAAAAAAAATGTTGTTTCCATAATTTTCACTATTTAGAGTACAGAATCCAAAAATAGTTTTTAAAAAGACTAAATTCGTTTGATTCAGTGAATCTAAAAATAAGAAATAAAAATTGAAATTTATACCAAAACTTAACTCCCAAATATTTAATATTCATGTCAAAGGAAACATAGCTCAGCGTTGACATATATCTCAGGTTGTGAATTCGATCCTCCACCCCCACATCTAAAAAAATATATTTAATATTCATACCCATTCAATAATGTCCAAACTCAATTAAAATAAATATCAGGTTATGAATTCCTTAAAAAAAAATCTATGAGGTCAGGAGTTCAAATCTTCCTATTGGAATTGTTACATTAAAAACAAACTTGCATTACAAACAAACTTAGTAAAAAAATCTAAAAGAACAATTAAAACCTAACTAAATAACTAGGAATAGAAGATGGACTTTCCCTCAAAATATATGCAAATAAACAAATTTTTCGAAAATTGAAAATGAAAAAAAAAACAAAATCTTTTAAGAGAGTCGATACCTAATCTACTACATATTTTCAATGGATAGTGCATCAAATAAATGACTTATTAAAAAATAAAAAATAAAAAACTTAACCACAAGTAATGTTTTTTTAATGTAAAAATGAAGGATTAAGACAAAATATTTAAAAATTTTATGAGTCTAGATTTAGTCCTATTAATTTCAATAAGAGAAAAAAAGTGTCATAAAGCTCTTAAATAGGATAAATTATATGAGGGACATCTAGAAATAAAAATACCCATTTTTATTTCTAGCTAATTATAAACAATTAATTTTTTTCTAATTACAATAATAAACTATATAATTGATTGTAAATATTTTTATTATAACAATTTATTTAATATTAATAAATAATGAATAATTAAAATAAAATTATATCAACTAAAATACTTTTTAAATTAGAACAACCCTCATTTAATATAAAATATTTTTAAATTAATTATTTTAATATTTAACGATAATGGTTCTATTATAAAAAATCCATTGATAATAACAAAGTAAAATTAAAAAAATAAATATAAAATTGTAATATTTTATAATAAAGTCACCTCAACTAATAAAAATGGTATAAATTTTTATGAGAAGAAAAATGATTAGCAGTATAAATAAAAAAGAAATTGTAAAAATATAAAACAATTAACTAAAAAAGTTATCGGTCAAGGTAATTATAATAAATATGCGGGGCTCACAAAATAAGTAATTTGATGAGAGTGTAGAGAGGAATGAGATTGCTTATTTTTAGAGAATGAGATTACAGAGTCTGAGGTCGGTCCATAATTTCATTTGTACAATTTGGTAAACATCCCGGGAATGAAAAAATTGATTTACATTCAAATTTTCTTGAATAAACATGGCCTAAATTGGAAATTTAAAAAAATATAGACTAAATTTAAACCAGCATTAGAGATTCATATATCTAGCCAAATAATTATTAGTGATGGTGTCGAATCCAACAAATAATAATTCTTACTTCAAAAATAAATTTAGAGTGTGGTAATAGCAAGTAGGGTCGAATCCACATATATTTATAATTTATTTATTTATCAAAATAGAAAAATAAAATTATACTAAATAGTATAAAATAAAATAAAAAAGTGATTTTTTATCGGTCTCATGTATAAGTTTGTATTTTATGTTATTTTTTAAAATTTAAAATATATAAATACATATTCTTTTTGTGCCATTTTTATTAATTCCTTCAATAGAAAAGTGGGGAGAAATGATTGAAAAATAAGATTAAATAAGAAATACCACTTGACTTTAGATTATAACAATAGCAAGCAAGGTCGAGTCCACAAAAATTATTAATTGATTTATTTATCAAAATAGAGGATTGGGAGTTTTGAGAAATTATTGAAAAATAAGAGTAAATCATAAATAAGAGATAAAAGAGATAATGTATAAAGTAAAAATAGTGATTCATGGAATCTGATCACAGAATATTAAATTATAACTAAATTTAAATACTTAAACATTTTTATTGATAAAATATAAAATATAAGTATATTTTGCATCTCATCAAATTTTTTAATACAATGTTTAGAACAATTTTCTTGCACGTTGAGGTGAATCTTATCAATTAGATAGCATACAAATTTGTTACATTGAATATATATATATATATATATTTTATCTTGAATAGAACCTAAAACTCGATATTTCACGTAATAACTAATTTTTTTTTTCAAATTGTATTTTGAAAATATTTTTAAAAGTTAGGATAGTTTTTATCGTATTATAGAAATTGTCCATCCACATACTAAAACCATGTCTTCAACACAAAACTTTCAATCTTCGTACCAAACTAAAATTATGTATTCAACACAATTTTTCAATCCACGCACCAAAATCATGTCTTCAACTTTAACACTAGATTTTGTCGTTGAACTAAAAAAAATAGAGATTTTAAAGTTTGTTCTTTTTTAAAAAATATCATCATATCTCTTCTAAAATCATGAAATTACATTTTAAACTCTTAAACACTATATTCTCGAAACTATATTAAATTTAAAATAATACAATATTAAATTTAAAAAGAAAAAGAAAAAGAAAAAAAACCCCCCTAAAACCCACCCAAAATCCTGAATGGAATATCTTATTCGAGGGCCATAATCGTGGACTTCCAAATACTCAGACCTTCTGAGTTTTGAAGTTTCCATTGATAGAAGGGATTCGTAAAGACACATCTTTTTCTATAATAAATGGGCGTGTAATGGGATTGTAGCTCTCTTTCTTCTTCCCCCAACTTCTCAAATGGGCCGTCTTCATTCGATTGGAACGTGAAGCTTGGTGGGAAAAATTTTTTCGATGGTTTGATTTTTGATTTTCGACTTTTGATTTAAAGGGGTTCTTGTTTAGGGCCAGAAAATGGTGAAAAAATCTCAGGCTGGCAAAATTGGGGCGAATGGGGACTTGGTATGTGACCCAACTTTTACTCTTATTTGTTGTTGTTTTTCTTTTTTTGTTCATCCAGTTTTGTTTCTAACTCTAGAGCTATTTGTGTTTGAGAAATAGTTTTAAACCTTGCTTACTTGCTCTTTAAGAAAATGCCTGATAGTGTGTTTTAGTCTTTCTTTGTGAAAATGTCAACATGGATTATAGAATGAAAAGATGATCAAATGCTAATGCACTATTTTTTTGGTGTTCACTTGATTGCTTCGTAGTTCTTTGTTCTTTTTATTTATTGCTTTGAGTTGAGTTGTGTTTACTGTTTGGTTCTGTTTAGTCAATCACTTTTTTAATTAGTGTTACTTCTATAACCGGTTTTCGGGATCAAGGGCTCCACTCCTTGTATTATGCTCATGTTCGTCAAGAGTTTTAAGTTGTTAAGTTTTCGATTCGAGAGCTTGAACCTTTGCCATTAATGTGAACTGAAGTATCTTTGTGAAATGTGTTCGCTTTCACTTCCATTGAGTCTAGAAGGGTTAAACGTTATGTATAATGAGTTGATAAATTGTATGTTGAAAACCAAAATTAGCTAACCAAGTTCATCTTTTTTTTTTAATGTTTTTTCCTTCTTAAAATACATGGTTAATATTGATTTACAAGTTATCAGCTGGGTTTACAAGCCAGGAACAATTTTGTATTCTTACAAATCACAATGCCCATGGCAAGCACCTTCAAAGAATCGCCACTGTTTTTTCTCTTCTCATTCTATTAAAATATCCTCTTTCATTTATTATCTCTTTGAGGTAAGTGGATAACATAGTAATTGATTATGAACATACTTATATGTCTAAATCATCCTATTTTGTATTATGTTGTCGCAAAATCATAACTAGTTATGTTCTGATATGTGTTACAAATTTTCTGTTTATAATATATTGTTTTTTATACCTAAGGAAGGCTCCTCAGTTCACTTTGGGGATTTGTTTTCTACATCTCTTTTCTGGACAAAGAAAAAGCTTGCTCCTTTGAAGTGTGAAAAAAATTCCATTTGATGGCTCTACTTTGGGCCTAGCTCTCTATGCTGCATCTGGGGTGGGTTTTTAGCCTTTCTTTGTTCAAGAATGTGGTACCGGTAACCTTTTTATGAGATCTTTATTTGTTAGTTGTGCTTGGGAAGGGTCAACATTTAAGAATTTGTTCAAAGTCTCAACTTCCGTCCTTGGCCCCAATTAGTGTAATTTGTGTATGCATGATTATGAGGATTTGAACCGAACCACCTGTTGTGCCTATGCTACTCTGCTTCTAAGCTGCAGTGTTGCTTTTGTATGCTTTAGTGCTCGAGTTTGTGGGCAATGCTGGAGGAAGTTGTGTTGGGTTTTCCTTTTCGGGATAAAGATTGTTTACTTTGGCAATTTGGTTACTTTACTATTGCACGGAATATTTTGTTGGAAAGAAACAGGAGAATTTATTGGCCATCGATAGTTTGAGGGGGGAAGGTCTGATGTTAGATGTATTTTAATGCCTCTCTTTGAGTTCCTCATTATTGTTTTTTGTAATTATCCTTTTTTTTCCTTGCTACCAAAACCTGGGGATCTTTTCTATAATTTTATTTTTGTAGTCGCTGAGTTGGTCAGGCCTTGTCGATGTGGAATCCTTTTATGTTCTTTTGTTGATTAAAATTTCGTTCTTTCATTTTTTTATTAAAGTTCAATGAGTTCATGTTTTTTTAATTGGTTAGAAGTAGTAGACTGAATTATAAGTTTAGAATCCATCTCCTCCTTCAGTGCTGCAAAATCAAAGACTGAAAATATCATTCGTTTTTGCAGAGCACGGAAGTAGCACATGAAAGCACAGTGACTGCCTCTGAAAAACCAGAAGGTAGCAATCCACCCTTGAAGAAGGTACAATCACCATTAGCTAGTAGAAGCTCTTCCAAATGGAAAGTGAATAAGTTTTCTGTCCGTCGATCTGAACGTATTCAAAATTCAACACCTCGACGCCTCAACATACAACAGAACGTCGTTGAAGAGATAACTCTTAGTGATGGAGAAGATGAGTTGCCTATTGACAAGGAGAAAAGTTTGCCACCTCTTGACCAAGAAAATGGCTGGCCTGAGTACATGTTTGAGGACAAAAACTTGGAAGGGAAAATAGACTACATTGTGAAACTACTCGAAGCACATGGCCATTCCTTAAACTCAATAAAGGCTGAGGTACAAGTGTCAATCATTTTTTTCTGTTACATTATTAGGTTGGGTGATTTTGCTCATTAATTGGTGAATAACAGGTTATTAAGAAATCCTCCTCGATGGAAACAGTACCGACACCTGATATGAAGTATAAGAGCATGTATATAGCATCCCAGAAGAAGGTTATATTTAGTCATTTCCATCCTCTGATTCTTTTCTTCAATTCTTCTTCAGGCCAACTTGAGTTCATTAAGAAACCGTGTTCATTTTTGCGGCTATTTTCTTATGTGCAGATTGAAGAACTAGCTGAAGAAATCCAAGAACTAACTCAAAAATTGGAATCCACTCGAGACCAATTTGAAGCAGTATGTATTATCAAATTCCATCTCTACTATCATAGTTATGAAACTAGGAAGCATGGACAACTTTTTTTTTATTCTTTAAAGGAACCAAAGACACCTTTTATTGATAGAATTAAAAGATTAAAAGAATATATCCCAAAAGAAAACTAGAACTTATAAAAAGAGCACCCTAGCTCATTGGAATTAGAAATGCACGTTGACTTGAGACTTTAGCCTAAAACCAAGTCGGTAAGCTTTTCCTTTAGAACAACAATCCTAGTAATCAAAAAGCCGAAGTTATATTTACTCCAAGAACACTCGAGAAGTGTTCAACTTCCAGCATAAGGACTAAAGAGTCACTTCCAGATTGGAACTTCTCGTGTCAGATCGAAAACAAAACTTTCAGCCCTCACACCCCCTCAGGAAAAAGTAACTTAGAATACAAAATTTTGTATGGCGGATGTCTATTGATCTGATCTCTATTTGTGGATAAAGCATCAAAAGCAGTGGATCCTCAAGTGATTCAAAGAAATTATTGACAGCCCTCTAAATCATAAAGACTAAAAAATCGAGTTTTCTAATTTGGTTAGAAAACCCCTTCAACAAAAGGGGACCTTTATCAAAATCCTGAAGTTAAGAAAGGGGAATAAAAGAGAGCTTGATAATCACAGTTGGAGAAAGAAAAAAAAATGACTGTAGGAGTTCTTGAAACTATTGACGTCTCTCTTCCAGAACGAATAGTTATAGGGAATGGAAAACTTGTTCATCATTGTAGGCCTAGGAGGTGGTTGGATGGTTAGTAGAGTTCTATATGAATGACTAGAGCTCTCTTTGGGTGTAAAAGTGATGAAGAACATCTATTTATTTATTGTATTTATGATGGTTCAAACCAGCTTATATGCAACTCGACTAGGGATAGTGTATTTTGAGTCAATTTTCACTAAACCTTGATGGGGGATGTGTTAAAATATGTTTGTATTAGATGTGAAGGTTACATTGATTGCAGCAAGAACACAACTATTTTCTAGGATTATATGGATGCCATTAATAAGTCCAAAGGAATTATTGGGTTGGATGGTTAGCAGAGTTGTATTATGAGTGTCCATACTAACTTACATGCACCTCGACTAAGAATGATGTATTTTGGGTCAATTCTCACTAAACCGTGATGAGGGCTGTGTTGGAATATGTCATCATCAGAGAAATCTCCCTTTGAACCTCTCGAGTGAGAAAAGCATAAAAATTTGATTGTATCAGATGTGAAGGCTACATTTATTTTCAGCAAGAACCGACTACTTTCTAAGGATTATATGGGTACCATTAATAAGTTTGAAGGAATTACTGTGGTTTCTTGATGGCAAAAGGTTCTGTTTCTAATACGGACGATGCCATATGTGAGGAAACGAAATAGTGATTAACAAAATATTCTTTAAGAATATAATCTTATTGAACACTTTATTTGTTAATGTCCATGCATCATCTTTTGAAAATGATATTAATTGCCTATGTTGTCGTGTCCATGTCTACATTATGTCATGTCATTGACTTTTTTAGTTTTGACTTTGATATTTTTAAGCAAAATGATGCGTAATGGCTATAAAAAAAATTGTAATAGTCAAAAGCCAGTTTTAAAATAGTTTTCTTTGTCTTCAAAATTGTTGTCTAAAACCATTATCAGATGATTTGTAGAAGGTTAATATTTTTGTGCATATGGAAATCACTAGTTTTAAACCTGTGAATATTTGGCTCATTGTTTAAATATGTTTGGGTCTATATCTGCATTCGGATTATGCAAAGGAATGAGTTTATTAGGGACTTGTTTAGTAACGTTCTTGTTTCTTGTTTTTTGTTTTTCGTTTCATGTTTCTCGTTTCCTCTTTTTCAGTCAAGAAAAACAGAATTGCGTTTGGTAACTGTTTCTTGTTTCTTGTTTCTTTATTATGTATTGGAAAAAAAAAACATAAACATGTTTTGTAACTATTTATTATGGTAAAAAACGATAAAATAACACATTTATCTATGTTTTGGAAAAAACTAGAAACATGAACATGGAACAGGAAATATGGTTTTGTTATTTCCAAAATTTCTACATAATTTTGGAAACATTTCTTAAAACTTAAAAACAAGAAACCTGATCGATACCAAATGCTTATCTATCTCAAAAAAATAGAGATGAGAAATGAGAAATAAGAAGTGGATGTTACCTAACGGTAATATATTCTGATAGCAGAGGCTCTTTCATTTTCTTGGTGTGATATGCTAAATTTGTTTCTTATCTATATTATCTTTTACCTTTTATTATGAAAACTTAAACTTGTTCTAGTGGTTTTTTTTTCTCCATGCCTCGAACCTCTCTTTAAGGTTTGAAGATGAATTTGATTAAGAGATGATGAAGATGGTCATTATTCTGTTATAGACTTAGTCACTGTTTCATTTGAAATCTCATAAAAAGTTTTGGAATCACAACGGGATGTTTGGCTCATAGTTTAACCGACCTGAATAACTCTTACAGACTCGAGTCACTGGATTTATATAATATGTATTTAGATTTTACCAAGAAATGAGTTATTGAAATATGGATTTATGTACCATGTGTTTGATCTGTAGGTTTATAAACTTTGTAAAAGTTGGCGGTAAGTAGTATTTAACATTGGTTTTATAAGGCTAAGCTGCTTATACAACATTTATAGAATCCGTGGGATTGGCGAACCTATAACTTCGAGATAAGCAAACCACATACCAGATATAGACGTAGAGATACTTATTTTGCTCTAAAATTGTGCAGTACAAAATGGGGGCTCGCGATGTTAATGAAGCATTGGAGAAGATGAAGGACGTCATCCTGATCTCGAACAGTTCGAGAGTTTCCGAAGGAATTCAAGCTACGTCTCAAGCAGGGCTCGACAAGGTTACATCTCCCGATACGGGCGATGTTCCTCCTTCAAGCAAGAGAAAGAAGGCGACCAAACAAAATTGAACTTGAAGATTGGTTTCCTCTTGATGGTCATCACTCTTTTCTTGCTTTACACTTTAGTTAATACTTAGTTTTGTCAACTTAAAGTTTATATGTAGCTTTTTTGTTTTTGTTAGAAGACCACAACTATACAATGCCTCTTTCATTGGCCATGAAAAGTATTAGAAAGACATTATATCTGAAAATGGGAAAAGTTTGTCAAATATATTAGTTCTGATAACAATTTGAAAGTAGTTTTTTTGTTTTCTAACTGTTTCCTTATTAGGAAAAATTATATGCTGAAATAAATTTTAAAAATAGGCTGATTTTATTAGCCATGAATTTGTAAAAGATACATCTATAAACTTTAAAAATATTTTTATTGAGTTCTTTTTATTAACATTATTAACAAATTGTTAATATTATTATGTCAAATTTAATTTGTCTAACTATCTATTTATGGTGATCATCGATATACTACGTTACGTTAAATTTCTCAATATTTTCACTTATTTGCGTAACCTACCTTTATTCTCATTCTCATTTTAGGGCTTTTTCCAAATACTTGATAAGCGAATAGAGATTGAAAATGTATTTGGATTCAACTAGTACTAGCTATATACCATGGAAATCATTAATTAAAGTACAAAAAGATCAAATTACAAATTCAGCCTTTGAAACTTTGAAAATCTTATCCATTTGATCCTCAATTTTAAAAAGTTTTAGTTTTGTTCCTGAATTTTCGAATTTGATCTTAATAAATCACTCTAGTTTATATGTTATTTAAATGTTGACGTGATATGTTGATTGAACTATCAAGTGATAATTTGGTACAAGAGATTTGTTTATCCTATCGTTTCTATTTTTTCTTTTATCATATTTCCTCTTATTATATTTTACTAGTCTACACCTCTATGTCACTCGTAGACTCATTCATTCAATCAATAACATTGACTTATTATCGAAATTAAAAGGTAAAAAATTTTATTAAAAATTATCTTGACTAGATGAATTATAGGTATAATTCGGACTAAATTTATAATTTAACCAAATAATAAACTATGGGAACAAAATTGAAATTTTATAAAATATAAAATTAACACAATACATGAGTGAGGTTTTTGGCTTAGTTCGGAGATGTCGGTGCCGACAATTGCCAGCTGTCAATGTGATGTGGATTTATATTATAACAATGGCTGCTTCATCCACCGTCGGCTGCTGCACTTTTTTTTCCTTCTCATTTTTAAATATCATTTTCGTCCTAAATTTTAGCTTTTCTTTTCTTTTTTCTTTTTTTTTTTATTTTAACAATGGCAGAGATTCGACCATCAACCTTGAGAAGGGTACCATTGAAAAAATTATTGTACAAAAATGCATTTTTTTTTAATTTATAATTTGACACATTATTAAATAATAAATTGTTTTATTATTTTATTTTATGGACTCCACACCATTTTTAAATGGTGATGGTCTGGCACCAGACAATATTATAATTTTCGATTTGTTCTATGGTTCATGAAATTTAAAAATGTCTATTTTAGTCTATGCGTACACAATACATATTTTAGTCGGCATGTGACTTGAATGCAAGGACGGGTTCCTTAACATGCCCCTCAAGTGGTGGCTCTGATTGGATCCTCCTTCCTCATTTTGTTTCCTCAATCAGATGCTCGTTTGAGCTTGTTATGATTATTTTATACCATCTTAATAGTCATAGGGTTCCATTTAAAAATCAATTGAGCGTAAGTGGAGTAACTCATATATATCTTATAAGTCTTGATCATAAGTCTCTGGATCTTTTCGATGTGAAATTCTAATAGATATGTCCAAAGTATATTATCTATTCGTTAAATAATTGATGGTAAAATAGTATTGAGGACCAAAATATTTATTCTTTGAAAATTTGATTAAATAAAGACTAAGCACGTTTTTTTTTCTCTTAACGTGACCACAACTCGATCAACTGGTCAAGGCGTTAGTGAACTAAAAAAACATAATTTAAGTTGATGTTTTAAATTTTCCACTTTGAATTTAAGTAAAAAGAAAGACACTTAAAAAAATTAGGACCAACATCAAAATTAAATTTAAACATTTTTTTAATAAAAATAATCTTCTCATTTGATTTGAGTCATTATAGGTCTCAATTAATTAAGGAGGTCTTTTTTAAATTATAATTTTTCTTAAAAGATGTTAAAGTTCTTCACCAAATTGCTTGGATGACTCATAGAATAGAATAATAATTAGTGGGTGCTGCAATAATTGCAGTCTTTGATTGCAAACAATTATTCTATCACATTATTATTATTATTATTATTATTTTAATAATTACAAGTTGGAAACAAATTCAATTTTTACTATGAACTTTTATATCAAAATTTTATTCTAAATTTTCAATTTCATCCAAACAACTGGTGCATTTTTTATCTTAAATTATTAAAGTATATATTTTGGTCATATCCTTGACTGAATTTTTTTTCCTCCAACATTAGAATTTAGTAAATAATAAAAGTATTTTTTTATCTTAAATTATAAAAGTGCAAATTCTTATTCAAGGTTTAACTTTATTAATTTTTTATTTTTTATTTTCTTTGTAAAAAATTACTGGGAGAATCACCTTCTAAATGATAGATTGAAAATTACTTAAATCAATAATCACTTTTGAATCATTGTCGACGTTATATTTTAAAATAGAATTGATTTTTGAACATTACTTGACCATGCCAACATCATTCCACCTAAATGCTATTTTGACCTACTATGAAAAAAAGTCCATTTTTTAAAGTCCATTTCATCTTTATATTTTTATTTTTTTTTTATTTTAGCCAATTTATTTTCTAAACCTTTGTTTTGTTCTATTTACTTTTAAAAAAGTAAACATTTAGGTCATTTAATTTATTTGGATCATGACAATTCCCTCGTTGAATTTATTGAAATGCAGTTATAATTTGTATTAAAGAGCTTCCATTGTGTATAAAATTTGTGTTAAAATTTTGTAAATATTGATAAAAAAATATCACTTTTTTAAGAGTACAAAAACCAAAACTGACTTTGTGGTGAACAAAAAAGTTAAAAGTATATGGACTAAAATGTCTATTTTAAAAATACAAGAACCAAAATTAAACCGAGTGAAAAATTAAAATAGTATTTAAACCTTTATTTTTATAATGTTAAGAAAAAGCTTTAATATTTTATTTATAAAAGTTTTAATATTTTTAGTTATTAATAAGTAGGATTTTTTTTAGTACAACAAATTATGAGTATGAGTTTAAACCTTCGAGCTCAATAGGAGAAGTAGATGCTAATTACTGCTGAGCTATGCTTAAAAATTGATATGTAACTCTAAGGAATGAGCTCTATTTTGGTCCCTAAATCTATTTTGGTTCTTGTCTCTCTAATTTCTTAAAATGTCTTTTTTAATTTTTGAACTTTCAGATTTGTTTTATTTTAGTCTTTAAACTTTCAAAATATCTATTTTCGTATCTAATTTTTTTAAATAAGTCAGTCCATAATTTGACTTTAATTGTAACAAATTAACAACGTGATTTTGAGTATGTATGCTAACGTGTTATTATGAGAATGTATTCGAACTACGTAAATTGAAATTAAAATTAAGTATGAAGTAAATATTTTGGTAAAAAATAATCTAAAAATAAAAAAAATAATTTTTTTAATCTTGGGATTAAAACATGTATCGGAATTGTGAAAGTTTCGCGTCTAAAAGGGTTACTTTTTAAAGTTTAGGATTAAAATAGAATTTAGACCCAATTTTAATGATGTGCAAAAAGAAAATGAAGTATTTTTTATTAAATAAAAGTAAAAGTAGAAATGGAGACATTGACTTGAATTTTTTTTTGACTAAGAGATTTAGATTTGTGTGGTTTAAGTTAGCAAAATTTTATAAATTTAGTTCATTTATTAATTATTAATGTGAGAAGTTGACCACTATTTCTTTGGCCAATGAGAACTATTTTAAAGTGAAAGTTTGCACTTGAAAATTAGACGGACTATCAGGTGAGAACATGACACTACCTTCGACAGTATTTTTTTTTAGTACAATATGTGGGGTGGAGATCGAACTCACAACCTCATAGTTGGGAGTATATGTCAATTACTGCTGATCTATGCTCGCTTGGGCAAATATCTTAGCATATTGATCTTTCATAACTCTTCACATGGTAAGTCTATTTTTACCCTCCAAAAAAATTGTAAAATTAACGTCTCTTCAAATCTAAATTAAATCACACAAAATTCAACCAACAAAATATTTTAAATTCATTAACACGAGCTTAGTTTAACTGAGTATAACTTACCTCCTTTGAGGTCGGAGGTTCGAATATCCAACTTCTCATAGAACAATAAGAAAAAAAGGGAGTAATGATTTGCCCAAACCAACTACCATGCTAAAATACCTAAGCTTAAATCATAGGGACTAAATACTATTTTGATAAAAAAAAAATTGATTGTGTCTAGATATTTTAAAAAAATTATAAAATCCAAGAAATTCATTAAAAAAATCATTAAAAACATTTTCACCTTGCAATTAAAAATTATTATTAATAGGTCTAAATACTATTTTGATTTCTTTTATCTTTTTACTTCAGTTCATTTTGATTCATGTACTCTCAGAATGTACATTTTAATCTCTATACTTTCAACTTTTGTTTATTTTAGTCTCTGTACTTACAAAATGTCTGTCCATTATTTTGGTCCTATATTTTAAAAGCTACCATTTTAACTTTATTTGCAAAATTTAAACATAAATTTTATATACAATAAAAACTTTTTAATACAATTTTATGGCTACATTTCAAGAAATTTTATTAGCAAAGTGCCATGATAATATTGTGATTGAAAGACATGAGATAAAAATGAAAATGAATAATCAAAATGGTCGTTTTTTTAAAAATAGAAGAATTACTGTACCATAAACGTTTTGGAAGTACAAGGCTCAAAATGAAGGTTGTTTATATGAAATAATAATAAATTTTATTTTATATTATTGATGCTAAATATTTTTATTATAACAATTTATTTAATATTAATAATTAAAATAAAATTACATCATTAAAAATATTTTTTTATTAAAACAACCATCCTCAAATTTATTAAATTTGATTATTCTAATATTTAATAAATGAATTATATTTTAAAAAATTTATTGATATGAATTAATAATAACAAAGTAAAATATAAAATCTAAATATTTTATAATAAAATCACATCAATTACGGTATAAATTTTTATTTGAAGAAAAATTATTAATAGTATAAAGAAAAAAAATACTAAAAGTATAAAATAATTAATTAAAAAAGTTATGAGTAATTAATATACAAGAAAGATGTTGTAAAAGTAGAAAAGTAATTACAATAAATATATTGGGTCCATGTAATAAGTAATGAAATGAGAATGAAAGAAATTGATAAAAGGATAGGTGAAAAATGAGATTGCTAGTGATTACCAAATTTGAGGTGGGTAACACCATTTAATTCCATTTCTACAATTTGTCAACACGTAATAAAGATTCATTTCTATTATGTGATTCTCATCCCTCAAAGATAAACATGTCATTATTAGTGATATTTATCTATAAAAATATAAATTCATCGAAATATATAATTATCATTTTCATAACAAATATGACATATATCTATATCTAAAAAGTGGCAAGTTCCATCTTCCGTCTCGGGTCAACAAGGAAAAAACAAATTTTAAGAAAAGAAGGTGGAAAAAGTTGTCAGTGGGGTCTTTCTCCCACAAGACGAATTGAAACTTGAAATATAAAAATTGTAGGGAAAAAAAAGGAAGAAACTTTGGCCTTTAGCCCCTTGGGAGAGGCCACCCCTTTGTTAAATAGCGGCAATGTTTGGTTGAATGCGACCACCACACCACACCAACTGCCGCAACTTATTACATTTTTTTTCTCTTTCTTTCTTCATTCCTTCTCAATTCTACNAGAATCCAATTTCAATCCCTCTCTAAAAGCAAAAGTTGAGCAGAAAATCAAGGGGGGAAGAAGCCAGAAGGAAGATGAGAGAGAGAGGAGAATCAAAGCTTCATAACAAAAAATTAATCCCTCCTTCTCTTTTGCCTTGTGGGTTCATTTAGCTGATAGAAGAAGAAGGAGGAGAAGAGGCCATTGGCATCACCCAGTTTTGGACCTCTTCCAAGAAACCTCTGCTGTAAGTTTGTTCTTTCTCTGAATCTTTTGATGGGTTTCTTTTAATGTTGCTTGTTTTGTTCTTATTTGTTGATTTGCTCTTCTGGGTCTCTCTGTTTTCCCCATTTTTTGGGGTTCTGATGGAAGTATTGGATGGATTGAGGTTTCTGTTTATGAGATCTGGACTTGAATTGAATTCGTTTTTTGACCTTTTTGAGAACTAAGCCTGTGAAAGTAGGATTTTGTCTTGGATTTGGGTTGTTTTGCTTGAGTTGTAAGATGGTTCTTGTTAACTTCATAAAATTGAGCTGATTCAACATTGAGGAGGAAAGAACACTGGAGATAATCTTGTTTCCTGGGCCTTTTTCTTCTTGAAGATGGAATTTTAGATTGGATCTACCCAAAGGTGTCCTGGATTAGAGCTTGGGATACTTGGAGATACCGAGTACTTCCAAGTTGGGAAACTTAGGACCCGTTTAGTAACTTACCGTTTATTATTTTTTGTTTCCAGTTTGTTAGAAACATAAATAGAAAATGATTATCAAACATATTGCTAAAAAAGAAAGAACAAGAGGCAAGGAACAGTTACTTAACATACATATTTCTCTTTCTTTTTCAATAAAAAATAAAGAACGAGAAACATGTAACAAGAGTTGCTAAATGAAGTTCTATAGTTACTAAAAAAGAAGAAACGGAAAATGAGAAATGAAAATGTTTCCAAACGGGCCCCTAACCACGTAAAGTTCTTGTTATCCTGGGAGCTAGTTTGGAGTTGACGAAGCCTCCAGGTCGAGAACTTAATGACTTAAAACTTTAGTTCTATCGAGAAGTTGGTTTGGAGTGGACGAAGTCTCGGGGTTGAAAGCATAACAACTTAAAATCTTTGTTGTTTCTTGGAGGTGTGAGTTGGATTTGAGAAGGAAAAGATCCTCTTGAAATTAGTAGGGTGCCGAGGAGTGAGTTTCCAACACTCTTGCAAAATAAGAAAGGTTATAATTTACTACTTTCTATCTTCTTTTCATTCTATTTTGATGAACAGAGAAGTTCATCCACTTAAATCCCTCAATCTGCAGGGTTCTCCTGTGATTCCTGAAAACTTGTTCTTACTTTTACTTCACCTAACACCGAGTTAATTCCGATCTTTGACTAATTTTCGGTCATTCTCCAGTTGGGAATTCATAGAAACTTATACCAATGTTGAAGAAGATTTGGCAAAATGTTTCAGGCAGCTCCTGATATGAGGGGGTCACTACAGACATTTAGACAAAAACTTTAAGCAGTCTGTCACGACCCAGTTGTTTCATTTTACTAATGTAGTGAAAATTGAAGAATAGGAATGTCGAACGCCCCGCTCTTAACTTTTGAACATGTTTTCGAACTCAGATTTTTGTCTTTGGCTCACTTCCATCACTGAATTTAGCTAAGTTTTATCCTTCTCTTACATTTTAATATATTACTATGATGCAGCTTGGAGATGGCAGCTTCAGAACTTGAAACCGAAGACGTTTGCTCGGATATTTACGTTAATCTGGGGCTTAAGTCATTGCGGAAAGGAATTCGGAGAAATCCTCGTGTTCTCTTGCTTCTTTCTTCTCTCTTAGAAAGATCTGTTCAAAGAAATGAGTTGCTAATGGAGGCCACACAAGTAAAAGATGCTCGTACAATGTTTCATGGTTTACAAGCTCCCACCTTGAGTATTCGTTGTTATATCGACCGCATCTTCAAGTACTTCGGCTGCAGCCCATCATGCTTTGTCGTTGCTAATATCTATGTCGATCGATTCCTCAAGTGCATGGAGATCCAATTGACTTCCCTCAACGTCCATCGGCTGCTGATAACAAGTATAATGCTGGCTGCAAAGTTCATCGATGATGCGTAAGCACTGATCCATTGCATCAATTCGTTTTCGTGAAACTTCTCGAGTGCTAACATTTGTGCAACTTGGCTTTGCAGATTCTTCAACAATGCCTACTATGCAAGAGTAGGGGGAGTGAGCACGGCGGAGTTAAACCGACTCGAGATGAAGTTTTTGTTCAGTATAGACTTCAGACTTCAGGTAAGTATACAGACATTCGGGCGATACTGTTATCAACTGGAAAAAGAAGGAATGGAAACACGGCAGATCGAACGCCCGATTCGAGCTTGCGGGATTAAGGAGAGCTGGTCGAGTAAAGACGAGAACTCACGTGCTTCAACAACAGCCAGATGATTCTTTTACCCCAAAAACTTTGTATGTAAAATCAAATTACAACCGTTTCTACATAGCCTAAAATTTGATTCATTTAGAAATTTGCATTGCTGAGAAGATGCAAATCATTTCCAATGGATTTTATATTCTTGTGAATTCTTTTTCTTATTTTTAAGTGAGGCTGAGACTCCTACTAGAGAAATATATATCTATATCGTTATAAATTGAATGGTAGTTTTTGTGAGTAATAGTGGGTTTTTTCTCAAACTATTATATTAAAAAGTAAGAAAAGAAGATTTCAACTATAAGATGTCTTAATCATTTGAACTATGTTTTGATAACCGTTTTTTTTTAAATGAAAGAAATGCTGCATTAAAAAGAAATAAAACTATACCACTGTGAGAATCAATGAACGAAATAAGGGGTTTTTTTTAATCTCACTATTTTGGTTTTTTTTTCTCTTTATAAGGTTTTGCTACACTTAAAGATTAAAGGGTGCAAATCAAACCAATTGGTTTGGTAAATGACATTAACTAAACTAAAAAGCTTTTAATCTTTATTTATTGGTTAAATTACAAGTTTAGTTTTTAACCTTTTAGATTTATGTCTGATGGGTCTATTAAATATTTGATATTTTAAAGATTAATGAATCTATTAGAAAAAATTTAAAGTTTGTAAAAGTTTAAAAACTTATTTTAGGTTAGGGGTTTATTAATACAAAATTAAAAGTGTATGACCTATCAAAAATATAATTAAATGTTTAAGAATTTATTAAACACACTAAATTATAATGAAGAGACTTATTAAGCACTTCTTAAAATTTAGACACTATCGACACAAATCTTTAAGTTTATGGACTAAATTTGTAATTTAACTTGTTTAATTATTTGTAATTTTAACTGAATTTCTTACCGCCCAAGTTTAATTGATTAATGTAATATATTTCCGACTTTGTTACGAGAATAACAAATAATCATGATAAAAATTGGAAATTGATCGGAGGGAAGTTAATAGGAATGAAAATGAAATATGGAAAACGAATAAAATTGATTAAGTTTTTACAAGGAAATGACATTCTCCAATTATATAAAGGAATAATTTCCAATTTTAAAGTGGATGCTTCGTTATCGTTTCTTTTTAATTTCAATTGACAAGCTCAGCAATAGTAATTGAGAAGGAGAAAAAAAAGAAAAGAAAAATCATTCTCATTTGAGTGATTTTCAATTTTCTAAAAAATGAACCCTAGCTATTATATTTTTATAGAAAAATCTATATACTTTTTTTAAAGTGAAATTAAATGTTTCGGTTCTAAATTTTAAAAAGTGTCTAATACTCAACATATCTATAATTTTTAAATATTATGTCCCGTGGATTCTTAAATTTTCAATTTTATATCTAACATAGGTTATGAATTTTATCATAATAATAATATTATTATTATTATTATTTCGTTTAATAGATCAATATGAGACATTTTTAAATTAGGGACTTGTTAGATGCTTTTCTTAATTTAGGGACCGGAAAGTTTAGAGATCTGTTAACATCTTTCTAAATTAAAAAATGTATAAGCAAAGTTGTAATTTAACCTTTTTTTTTTATAATAAAATTTTTGAAGTTTGCTCAGGAAATTTGAAAACTTTATTAGCTGGGTAAATTATTTTGATTTTAAAATTACAAGGTTACAACATCGACCAAATTAAAATAGTTATTTTGACTAGTTAAAAAAAATCCGAAAATAAAGCGGAGGGGAAAATAGAATTTAATAATAAATAAAATCATAAGCAAATAAAATCTAGGATTTGTGATTTGAAAATTTAGAAACCATATATTTGGGGAGGAGTGATCGGTCTAAATTTGTATTTGAATTTAAAGCAGGATGAATCTACGATTGTGATTATTCTGAAAAACCCATATGCTTGGAAGAATTCAACGTGTTAGGGTGAGATTACCAATCAAATTTTCATGAACTGAAATTAATAAAATAATATGGGCCGAGTTGTTCAGGTCAAACCATCTGGGTCAAATCATCCAACTAGACTAAATTTGGGTCGATCCAAATTTGAACCAGTTGATCCACCCGAATTAACCTAAAGAGAGAGCTTGGCATAAGGTACAATCTCACAACTCATACCAGTGCTAGTTTTCTATAAGCTATTTTGGAACTTTAGTCATTGAAACATGGCCATTCTATGGATTAAGAAATATTTTAGCCATTTTTCATAACAGATGTGTAAATATAGAACTCAAAACCTCATCATCGGCTTGAAGCACAAAAGTCAGCTCAAACTTTATCCAAACTCGATCCAAGGTCAATGTTTGACTAGCCTAACCCATCTATAAATTAGATTGGATATGGATTTAGATCGTATTTGAATCGACCCATTAAATTGAGCCAAAGACCAAATATAATCTAACATTATTATTATTATTATTGAGATATATATTTTTTATTATCATTCTCATTTATCTAATTTTTTAAAGGTTAATATAGTAATACAATTTATTCCTTTAAGAATAAAATAAATTAAGTTGTATAAAAATAATATAATAAAATTCACGGATAACTTTCTGAAAATAAAAAATAAAAATTGTACCAAATAAATGAAACAAAAAAAAAATTCAATTAAGATCTTCATTTAAAAAATAATTTTTAATAATTAAAAAATAATTTATTATATGAATTAATTTAAGATCGATCAAAAAGAGTCAATTATAGTCTGATCTAATTTTGACCTATTGAGTTAACTCAATAGATTGAATCATGATATTAGGTTTTTAGTAATAGGAACGGTGAGGTCCACTGGGCTTTTAGTTGAAAAGTTTGGGCCCATTTAAGTTTGGGCTGTAGCCCTAGTACAGCATCTCTTTGGTGTCCTTTCCCTCAGATATTTTTCATATTTAAAAAAAAAAAAGTTCCAAATATAGATTTTAAATTTCATTTTCTGTAATGTACTTTTTTTTAGTCCTAAAAAATGTTGCTTTTTAGAACAAAAATTATGTAATACATATTTGAATGATCTTTTGTTCTNTTCTTTGAATGAATTTGTGAAATTTTATTAAAATAATTATAATGGAATTTTAGAAAGTAAGATTAGTTTTGATACAAAATCAGAATGAAATTTATTTATGAAATAGGATTCAAATTTTATTTTGGTACTATTTATATCTTTAAAACTTTAAAATATTTTGCTTCTATCCCTAAAACTTTACCTTATGAAAATCACTATCACGTTTGTATGATTTTTTTACATTATTTAATGGCAACCTAATATAGAAGTATATTTTATTCATATATTTAATGAATAAATATCTAATAGTAGATTAGGTATAAAATTTTAAAAAATAAACTTAGATTTATATTAAATATTGAATAATATAAAAAGTAACAACAATCACTAAAACAAAAATTTGTGCCGAATTTAAAGACTAAAAACAAAACATCTAATAGTTGAGAGACTAAAACATGACATTTAAAAATTGAGCGATCAAAATAGGGAAAAAAAGCATATTATTAAACCATCAATTAATTTTTTAAATGTTGAATGATATTGATATGTTTCATTGGTATATTTGTCAATACGTTTAAGGGGAATATAACACATCTAAATAATTAACTTTTTTATGTTCAATAATTGGTTGAAGGGATTTTTTTATTTTTATTTCTAAATTATTGAGGATAGAAAGGATGTTGTCTTATATTGGCAATGCTTTTGTTTTTGTACTTTATTTTATTGGTTGTTTTCTTGTGTTTCAATGGCTAAAGCTCCCAAACCCCATTTCTCATAAAATACCAAAAGAAAAATGTCTTATTTGATTATTGAGAAAGTACCCAAAATGTAAAGAATCCAAGGTTCATTTTGATTGTCATTTCTTTTTCACATATAAATTTACAAATTTTCTTGTAAGAAAATTAGAATCTACTACAAACTAGACAAAATATGTTATAAAATTTTGTCAAAACTGAAAATATTATATATATATATAAGTTATAATGTTCAAATGTGTTATTGCTTGTGAAAACTTCTGGCTCTACCAGTCTAATAAGAAGGTAAAATTTCGCTATTTTGTTTGAGGACTTGCAACACAAAAGAAAAGAAAGATGATAAGGTTTTGTTAGTAAGAATCGTCACCTTCATATCCCTATAATGCTATGATATTATCTATGATATTATCTATTTGATGCATGCTTAAGTTCATAGCAATAATAAAGATGTATTATCATTCACTTTATATACTCATGATCTTTCCTTTATCTAGTCCAACGTGGGACTTTGACTACATTTCTAAATAGGTCTAGTAATTAATGCGATGTCGATCAAATAAGTCTGATATGCTCATGTTAAAAATTTTGAAGATAAATGAGATTAAAAATATACTCAAAATATGTGAGAGTTTTGAGAGTTCATGTTTGAGGCTTTAGAAGTGATATTAAATTTATAGAACAAAAGTTGTTAACAATTATAGAAGTTGCTAGGCATAAGGAGAGATGATACGAAATGGGTCAAAAGCCAATATATTCTAGAAGGTCTTGTTATGGAAGACTTTGATCTCACTCGAGTCGAGATAGAGGGATGAAACATGGCTTAACAATAGAGCACATACTTTAATTTGCGCATATACATCATAATATTGAGAAGCATTCCTTCACAGTTACGTAATTACCGATATATACTCTTAGTTAATTTTGATTCGATCACATGCTGTCTCGATTATCGAATGAAATCATCATAATCAATGACTGTCATCTCTTCAGAACGTAAAATGCATTCCTTCACTCAAATCGAATTTAATTGAATCAAGTATAGAAACATAGTATCTTTTTCCAAGATTGATATTGCTATTTAAATAACAATTATTCAAGGGTCAGTAACATTTTCCTCTCTTCTAGACAACCTTCTAAATTTAAATATATGTATAACAAATTTCGAATTAATGAAAGCAAATATAATGAAGCTTCATGTTAAGTAAGAACAAGTTAGTCAACGAAATCCAATTTGTTTAATTAAAAGAGTTTAATGTTAATAAATTAAGCAGAAACAGACAAAAGTTTCATGAGATCAGATGATAATTAATTTAGAAAATTTTGATATTAAATTAGTTTTCCACCTCAGAGGATTTGGCGTTAAGTGGCCACGTGATGAACTGCGTCCTTACTGTGGACCTGCCACCACCAGATTACTGCTCTTTCCGACCAACTACCAGTACGGTACCACTGTTGTTCCCCCTTGC